TGCTTGATCAGATTAAGTGAACACTACCCGCCCCAGGGTTAAAATGAGGGTTTTATCTGAAAAGAAAAGAAACTCTTACTTCAAAGTCTCAAAGGGGTTAACAAGGGTCTATCTCCCTTATATCTCTGGTGTTTAGGAATCGAAACAAGGCATGTACATTGTCAGCAGGGTCTTACTCAAAAGCATACCAACTAGAGATTTTTTTTTACATTTTTAAATTATCGTCATCCTTCCTCCAATATTTACCTAAGAATAAGATTTGGAAACTTGGCATCAATATGCAAGTAAAACATTTTAAGAGTGATAACAAATGGAGGAATAAAAATGAAAGGAACACTTCAAGACAAGCATACTTATTGCATTAAGATTTTTATTCAAAAATATACAGGTTTCTACATGCGAGCAATGTTTAAACAAACAAGCAAGAATGAAAATGAAAATTTAATAAAGAAACAAATGATTTCCATTATTGAGGAGACTTAACTATGTATGGACTTCTTCATTCTGATGACTCTCTACAGTCTTGATTCTTAAATGGGCGAGAGAATTCCCCTTCTGATCTGATGTGAACACAACAGTCTCTGAATTGTTCTCGTATTGGACATTGTCTCTGGATGGCATACCATCTTCAATCGAATTAACAAGTTCCCTTGAATAATATGCATGGAAGATTATTTCAGGAGAGCGAATGAATACTTTATCAAGCGAATTGGTATGAACTTCATCACCAAGCATCTTACGCCACAAAGATACAATACAATTATCCTTCTATTACAAAAGAAGAGACATGGTGAGAAAGAGTCTGACAGTTGGCAAAATAGGGATTGGGATTTTGGAAGAGACGCCAGTCAGGTTCTGGGATTTATACTATAACCCCTTTACAGTATTCAATATCAAAACCGGGTGCTAGAGAACAGGGGACACATCTAGCATGTTCATCACAATTAGAAGAGATGTTTGTGGGAGGAGGACCCCAAAGATTAGAGCTTTACCAATTGAACTTCCACCAGGAGAGGAAATAACTTGATGTAATTCACTGAGATCACATGAACATGCTCATCAAGCTTCTTCTGTCTGTGGTTAAAAGCTTTGCCCCATGAATTCACTAGGGAACAAAGAATGGCTACTGTCGACCAGATCAGGGAACACAAAGTTATGGAGAGAGCCCCTGATTGAATAGTTAAATGCCTCGTTGTGGTAACCACATATGATGTTGGTATCATGATCCGGAAGGGAATTTATAGATGGCACCGAAGTACAGTGTCTAACCCACTAAAGCTCAAACAAGTGTGGAAACCAATGAGAATGAAACACTGATATAAGATCAACTCTCCTTCAGGCGCATTCTAATCTCGTTGGTAAAACAAGTTTCTTGAATTCACATAGTAAATGGGAACCATATGCTAATAAGATGTCCCAAGAACTCAAGATTGTGTAGCACTCAATGGTTAAAAGTAAATCCATGACCCGACTCATCCGAGTCTTCAATCAATTATCTTCATTCTTGAGGGATTCCCGACCATGGGCCAAAGCTAGCATGTATACCATAATCAACCCCATTGAGATCATTGTATCGGTCAATTCCGCATGGAGTTATGCCATATTGATCTCTGAACACGTTCAGTAAGAAATTAAGTCTGAACCTATAAGGAGAATACCAGGTTTGAATAAGAATCCCCAATTTGAGTACCTGTTATGAATGCATGAATGTGCATGAGGTGCATGAATGGATAATTCGTCATGTTCCATCATTTCCAAGGAATTTACATGCTTTGATTTTTACTTTATGCAGGTAAGGGATGGAAAAGTTAAACACAAGACTTACAAATATGATTCCATGGAAATAACAGAACATGTATGTTAAGCATGTGGTTAACCATGTTATGTATGCAAAGACATGGGATCCAAGTTCCATCACTTCTGAATATGATTGTCGCACTGTTTCTGAACCTTATGGATATTACCAGATCAAAGGTCTGACACAACTTCCACACATACAAGAACCAAGTACCATGTAGATTATCATACGGGATTAAGTTTTTTGGACCACTGGATACTATTGAGAATTTTCTAAACATGTTGGGAATACCAAAATTGAAGGCCCGAATGAACTTCCAAATAAACAAATTGAGAACTCAGAAAATAATTTGTAGAACCCCATAGTCACCACCAACAAAAAAAGTCACCAACAATACATATATGAAATCATATCTCCCGCTCACGGGTGAAGACTAGGGCAGGGTAAGGCAAGGGTAACTCGAAAATCACGAGTCCTCTTGAAAGTAAGATCATTGCAACACAGACGTGCATGATGAAAATACCTCCAACTGAACCTCATCCAAAAATGGTATATGACATGACTGCACTAGTCGGACCACGTCCTATAGCCTTCATGTACCCACTCTATTCCTAGGTTTCCTAGTGCACTCGAGCCTGGCTACGGGGCCTTTTACCTCATATTAACATCCCAACTTAATCAAGAAGCAGATCCAGTACATGAGTAGTATATGGAAAACAGTAAAATGCAATGCATACATATGCTCAGGTAATAATGTATGAATGAATAAACATAAAGCATAAAAATAAACACCCAAATAAAAGAAAACAAGAGCTAGGAGCGACTCCGAGATGGACCAGCAATTGGTCGATATGACCCTAGTGAATTCGCCAACTGAAACAACTGGTTGAAAGTCATCAAACAATGAAGTCGCCATTGAACGTATTTTAACCTAGATGAAGGGAAAAGCAAACATCGAGAACACCTAAGAAGGGAGAAGTTACGGTCTTGAGATTGAGAGATCGGGTAAGGGAGTATGTTATGCGAGGGGAAGGTATTAGCACTCCATACGCACATAGTATTCTACGGCATCCACTCTTGTTGTGGGTGTGTTTAATCTATGCTTACTGTTTATTGTTGAGGAAGAATGCATACTAAAGAAATAAGAAATTAATGTAGGGAAAATAAAGTTGTCCTCTCTTAGGCCCTACCCCAATGCCTATGTATCCTTGTTGAGGAATCAGAGTTACCGTAGTCCGGCTCACATGTTTTTCTTTGTTTGTGTTTTTTATGAACAACGTTGATTCCATCTTCTACCACAGCTCGACCTTTGGAGACTCACGCGTTGGCACATAAGTAAGTTAATCATGTCCTTACCTAAAAATGGTTTTGAGTTACGCCCTAAAGAAAAGATGCCACATTTGATTGGTTTGTGTTTTGTTACCTTGAAAAATGGTTTAAGTGTGATTAACATATTTTATGATTTGCTAAAAAGGAGGTTTTAGTTTTAAATGTAACTATGCAAAAATGGGAAGTAAAGAGTCTACGGGGGACTAGCCTATTTCTAACCCTAATGTTATCATACAATGGTGGCCCTATGTTAAGGATGAAAGGGAAATCTCTACCTAATGTTAGCATGCATGGCTTACCACCTAAGGTCTAACTTGCATCCGAAAGTAACAAGCGCATCTTAAGGGAACATGGTATGTACAAGGATATAACAAACAAGCTCGAAAGAGCACACACATCAAATGGTAAAGAAAATAAGCGAAAATATTTAGCCAAGGGGAGCGTATCACCCGAGACAAACAAGCGGGAGTCGAATGTAAAACAAAAATGTGACGTCCAACGCGACTGAACACCTTACCAAGATATAAAAGACCGAGGTAGGCGACAGAAGGCAATATGAACAATCACGGAGTATCGGTATCATCCAATGTGAACTCCTGACAAAGCTTGGGGGTTTGATTGCAAAACCCATCCCCACTTGACGACTCGATAACTAGAGCATGCAAAACTCCGAAGCATCGTGTTATGTCACAAGCTATGGATGACATGGACGAAATTGAGGGGGTTGATTGCAAACTCACCTGGCTCGCCTCTTTTGGAGGACTTATCATCTTTACATATGTGGGCACAAATATAAACACACGTGTGGAATACGTACTTCAAAGGTAGAGTTTTAAACAACCACAAATAGAAAACAGAATGCACACAATGTGGAATTTCCCTAAACGGGTCTTTAAATAAACCAGAGGGATTACTGACATGGTCAGCAACGGAGATTCCCATCATACATCTTTACCATACTTCTCGTGGCATCGGAAAGCAGTAAAGCCCTACTTCTCATGATATCCAGAAAGCAGTGAAATGCTGAAATGAGATAAACAAGAGAAAATACCAAACATATATTAATTCGTAGCAAGTTTATCAAAACAAAGAAACCTGACGATCTTCGCGAAAGCTTCACCAATCAAAGAAAAGAGTCAGAAATCAAATTCTCGAAATAAGTGTCGAAGCATAGTCGATGTGATAATAAATCATAATCGAAAACTTTCAGCATATTCGTATACCGCACAATAAACCTACATAAGACTAACGGAGAAAGGCCAATTGCCTCTTCAAAGCCACACAAGCGATAAGAAAACTCTACCAAAAACTTCCTCAAATTTACTTGACAAAGATTAAGCTCTTAATTTACTTCGTAACTTCTTAAAACTCTTCCTTAAAATCTCTTTTATTAAACCAAATCCATATAATTGTAATAACATTATATCACAAATTCATGGCAAAGAAACGATACTAGAAGAAATAAAAGAAAGAACCTCTAATTGAATTCTAAAACACTAATGTTTTTATTCATGCATTTTTTATCAACAAAAACCACGGAGAGGAAAATCATTATGGAAAGCAATTGAATTTCTACAACAGAGGGAGGGTATAATCTAGAAATAGTTGTTTGGTAGTAATAAGCACGCTAAGCCCAGCTAGAATAAGGTCGATAAAACATTTTTGTGTCAAGCTTCAAGAATATTAAATTTTTTTGCTATGGGCTCAAAAGCTTAGGTAGAGGCACACGCGGATGGAGATCTAACAACACCTTCACCATATTTTAACCAATCAGCTTAGTATCAATTGATTTATAAAAGAAAAGAATTAAAAAAGAAATAATAATTAAAAAAATTAAAAGAAAAGAAAGAAAGGATATGTCTCCCTTTGGAGAATGAACAAGGTTAAGAAGAATGACTCTTCAACTTCCTCAATCAGAAGCACTCTTCTTCTCAAAACTTCCTCCGCTGCATCAACGATGTGCTTCAGTCTCAGTTCGCTTCGACTTCTTCTCTTCATCAATCGTTCATCACAACAACGACACCATGACTCCACCATTCAATGCTTCAAAGCTCTACCCATTTCACCCTTGACTTCGACTCAAACTCAGCAAAAAACAAAAACTGTAAACGAAACGAAACACATACCAATCGGAGCACCACCTGTGGTTCTTCGAACTGATAAAAATCATAAGAAAATTAGAGGATCTTATTCTTTGCGAAATCCAGATGAATCAATTCAGGTACATTCAATTTCGTGTTTCCTCTTTCTTCTTCTACATTTTCTGATTTCGATTGTTCCGTAACGTATGCGATAACGTTTATTTTTGACGTTTGAGAGTAGTGAAGAATGGATGAAGATGACCTTTATGCAAGGTGATAAACGATTTTCCGAAGGAGAGGTATTGCACGGAGGTGTAGATAAAGGTATGAAGGTGCAGCAGGGATGAAGCAGTGAAGACTCGTTGCAGAGAAAAATAGAGCTTTTAGAGTTTTTTTGGAGAATTTGTTCATTGTGTTAGTTGGAGGTTAGTTAGATGGTTAGAAACTGTTAGAAATCAGTTTTTATTTTCTGTTATTTTTATGTTAGAATAGTTACAGGTGAAAAATCTGTTAGAAGTTAGTTAGTGAGTTGGTTACAAAAATTCTGTTAGCTTTGTTAGTTTAATTTCTGACTTGCGGGAACAGTTTAGCAATTAGGACATGGCTGAACTGATTTTCTGTTGTACTTTCCTGATTTTACATTTTCTGAGTTTTCCTGATTTTTGACACAACTGGTTTTTTGAGTTTGTGCAGACTGAGTTTATGTTATAGGGCTATATGTATTATTCTGGGTTTTTTCTCTGAACTGGTTTAATGTTTTTTATTGATGCAAGTTGTTTATTTTTGGAGTGTCAATTGTTCATTCTGTTAGTTGATAACATGAAGGGCTTGATGTATGTGCAGGGTTGTTTCCATAAATGTTTTTTTGGTGATGATTGTGTGAAATGAAGGCATGACTATGGAAAGAAGCATGAAGTTGAAGCTTGGTCATGGCATGATGTTTTGACATGAAGAGGTAGGTTTAGGCTTAGGATTTTTGAATGTATGTTCTTTTGGTGTGATGTAAAGGATTTGTAATGGTGTAATGATTATTGGAATGAAACAACGTATATTTACCATATGTTGACTTTTGAGAAAGTGCAAAGAACTTAAATCTTGAATAAAATCCATGTATGGACCTTTGAATGAATAATGATGAACCTTGATGGAAATCTTGAATGTAATGAATTATACTTGTAATGAATAGTGCCTTGAATGAATAATGAATATAGTGATGTATGCATTTGTTAATTGAACCCCAAGAAAATCCACATGACCAATCTTAACATGTTTTTCCAAATTTGATCCAATCAACTACCTTTGAAAATTTGAAAATATTGAATTCAAATCAAACTTTAAATCCAAATCACACTTGCATTATCAATTAACCCATAACTTTGATCTCGCATCCACCTTAATTTGCATTACAAGCAACAAGCAATAAGCAATTGAGAGGACAACAATTGCCTTGATCATAATGATTCCACCATTTCACTTATTGTACCATGACCCAATATATTGTAATTCAATCCACAAGATACCTTGACTTAATGACCAATGAGATAGTAATTTCTTGAATCCTTGAAGCTAAAAATAAGACTTGGAGTGTAGAAAGGAGCATGGCCACCAAGACGTTCTTGAGACGAAAATCCACAAAACATTTATTGATGATGAAACAAGCTCACATGTGATGTATAATAGACATTAATCGTCTTACTTTAAACACACATTGAGTTAAGAAGGTATATTAACATGTTATGAAAAACCAACCCTAGCCCATAGCATTCTCAATTGAACCCTTGATGAAGATGAAAAACCTAGTAGCTTGTGGGGGTGAAGTTCAAAATAATCAAGAATCCAAACCCTAGTTCCATAAACCACGGTTACTCGGAACCCAACTGATTTAAGCCTGAGTGAAGAGGAGACCTATCAAATCCATAGAAACCCTAATTCCACAATATCATCAATCCCATGCCAAATTATTGACCAATGATGCATGACGTGCAAAATGACCTAATGAAAGTTATGTACATGAGGAAAGTGCGAGATGCATAAGCCAGATAAAAGTAAAAGGGTAGGACAAATCTGGGATATTACAGTGGAGACAATATCCAAAACCTAGAAAGTAATCTGGAATGAGTGTGGTCCTATATGAATAGGTAAATCCACTTCTCCGATGATAGACTTTCTCGAACCATCAAAAGCTTTCACTATAATGCCACTTGGGAGCATGGGAGCTCCTTGATACTTAAGCTTCGTGAGCGTGCTTCTTGGTATGACATTCAAAGCAGACCCATTGTCAACCAGCACGTTGGACAAAGATTCATTCTTACAATTCATGGAAATATGGAGAGCCATGTATGGTTTCTTCCTTCATCAGGCAACTCGTCATCACAAAATCTTAGATTGTTATAAGATGTAATATTCCCTAAAACATTGCTGAACTGGTCTAGAGACAAGTAACTTTCAACAAAAGCCTAATCCAACACTCTCATTAGAGATTCCCGATGAGCAGAAGAGCTTATCAGCAAGGCTAGAATGGAAATCTTAGATGGAGTTTGCAACAACTGATCCAGAATCTTGTAATCACTCATCTTGATGATTTTAACAGATCATCAACATCCTTTTCCAAGGCAGCAACACTAGATTCTCCTTCCATTTTCTTAGGTTCAATATTCTCAACAACATTTTTATCGGAATTAACATATCCTCAAAAGGTAGAGGAGAAGACACGACCATTGCGGGTTACCCGACTAGCTTCAACAATATTCTCGACATGGGACAAAGGTTTGATAGGAATTTCCACACCATCTTCCAAGATAGTTGCATTATGCTTATAGCGTATAGCTTTGTCTGATCCATATGGGATATGACCAGGAAGACAAGTAACCACAGGAGAAACAAAAGGCTTGCTTATATCCTTCACATTGAGACCAACATCTTTAAAAGACAGGAGACCATATCTCACCATCTTCTACACTTCATACTTCAAGGGATAACAATTTTAAATGTTGTACCCTGGGGCTCCTTGATGAAAAGCACAAGTCTGATCTGCCTTGTAATACCGTGGTAAAGGTGAAGGTATAGAAGGGGGAGGCCTTGTCTACACCAGTTTATTCTGAATCAAAGCCGAAAACAACTCTGCATAACTCATTGGAATAGGTTTAAAAGCTTCCCTCTTCTGACCCCGCCCTTGATTACCTCGAGGATTTTCTCTCTAATAGGCAACAATAGTCGGAGCTACATTGATGACTGAAGTCACTGAAGCAATTTATTGTGGGCACTGATGAAGTCTTCTTGAAGGTCTAAACTTTCTTTCCTCAATGATAGCATTTGTTTCACTTTCTTTCGTTCTAGAAAACACATATTATGATTTATTTTTTCCTACGTCTTTTGTCAAGCGTCCTTCCCTGGCAGCTTCTTCTAGACGAACACCCATACTTATCATCTCAGTGAAATCAACTGGCGCACTAACAACCATCCTTTCATAATAAAATAATCCAAGGGTGATCAGGAAGACCTTGGTCATTCCTTGATCTCCCATTAGGGGTAGCACTTGGGAAGCAACCCCGCGCCAACGCTGCACATACTCTTTAAACGACTCCTTATCTTTCTGAGCCATCGCTCTCAATTGGTCATGACCAAGTGCCATAAACATGTTGTACTTATAAGGCTTGATAAAAGCTTCACCCAAATCATTGAAGGTGAGGATGTTGCTACTGTCCAATCCCATATCCACTTTAAAGAAGCACCAGTTAAATTATCCTGGAAGAAAATAATAAGCAAGCGTTGGTCATCAGTGTGAGTGGACATCCTTCTGACATACACCACTAGGTGGTCACGAGGACAAAATTTGCCCTTGTACCTCTGTTAGCTCTTAAATCCGACACCTACAACAAGTTGGCCTCATGGGCTAAAAATAGATTGAACAAGTCTAAATTGGAAAAGCTTCGACAAAGTATAAAAGTACTTAGAGAAACTCTAAGTTAAAGTGAGTCTTCGACTAGAAGGTTCTTAATACGTTCGACTGAAGGGACTCCAAGGTCTTCGACCAGAAGGAAGCTTTGTATCTGCCCCATAATATTTTTGAATCTGGAGAAAGGCAGGAAAATCAGTTCGCTTGGCAGTTGAGGAAAACAACGTGGTGTTCAAAGAGGGGTCGAAGCACATGCAGAAGACACTTGTCTTCATCCTAGAGAAAGGCAACTCCTCGACGGTTACCTAGTTTTAGTATAAATATAGGAAGTTTATGTAGATTTCCGGGTGTTCAACTAATTGTACAAACTATTCAATATTATTCAAGTACCCGCTGAGTGAGAAAGAATACTGAAAAATGTACGTTTGAAACACCATATTTTACAATCAAAGAATTTTATTTCTCTCTTTACATTTCTTTCCTCTTTATATTGTTTGCACTTTATCTGCACTTTTACCCAAATTCTTGCACCTAACCTCTCCTTAACCCCTTCTTTCTATTTACTTTTTGCACTCAAACTCATCCCTTTCCCAGTCGAACTTGAGTTCTTCGCCCACATTAACGTTTATGTCCAAACAACACAAAAAATTAGCATATGTCCTATGATCAAACTGATCGATCCTGCGAGTAACCAAAAATTTATCCTTTTTGGAAGATAAGTGGTTGTTCACCAGAAAACACGGTGAACAAATTGGCACGCCCAATGGGACGTTGCTAATTATTGTTGCTTTATTTATTTTGTCTTAATATAAATGCTTCGCATGATTTTCTTTCTTTTACAAAGTTTTGCATGCTATTAAGAAGTGGTAGTGTAACCACAAACGAGTCTACAACTATAAAGATAAATAGTGAAAGTAATATGGCTAATCAGCCAACTGATGGAGAAATACCTCCACCAATTACTACGGGAACAACGGTAATACCTGAAGATGTTAAAATCACAAGAGGGGGGGGGGGGGGTTGAATTGAAAACTTGGATCTAAAACAGCTTAATGACACATTATTTTTATCCTGGTTCGTTTGATCTCAAACTACTCCAGTCCACCCGTCAAGGTGACTTCGCCTTTCTCCAACGAGGTCTTAATCCACTAATCTCAACAAGATTACAAAAGCTACTTTAACAACTGTTAAAGTCTTCTTGAGTACAACCACAATCCGGTTAGTCTCAAGGATCTCTTTTACAAT